TGCTGTCTGTGGAAGAAGTAGGACACACGTGTGATCTGCTGAGCTGCACTGAGTTTGTACCAGCATTGCTTCCTCTGGCTCCAGGGCTCCGGAGTCAACCCTTTTCTCTAGCTCTGAAGCTGCGGTCTCTAACCTCCCCACTTCTGTTCACAGTTGGCAGTTCCTACCTCCTCTGTCTGACTCCACTTCTGGGTAGCACCACAGACCCTTCCAGGACCGGAGGCATAGCTTCTTTAAAGTTTCTCTTGCAACATACACAGGCACATATGGGAGAAGGACCCTGTTCTGGGCCTGAAATCTCTCATAGTCAATATTATCCAAAATAAAAGTAAGTCTTGTTCTACTGAGAAGACTCTGAATTTGGAGAAGCTAGAAATGAGCTCACTCCTTATCCCTTCATTGACCTCTTGGGTCTCCATTATTTGACAGTTGGCTTAGCACTGGGGGAGGGGCTCCTGGGTCTGGAACTGGGCTGATGTTCACTTTGGGATATTCCATGATAGCTAGTTCTTGAGGATGTTCATTGTCCTGCTGACTTCCCCTCATGATGGCTCACAGTCACATGAAGTACGGAAATTTTTTTTATGGTAAGCTCATCTTCTATGGTAGGGTTTTTTTTTGTTTGTTTGTTTTTCTCAGTGGGAGTCCTTGCATCTTGGATCGGGACATACCTTTACAGAGAGGGTTTCACAGTTACAGAGTTACTGCCGCACATGTCTGTGTAAGTTCTGGCTTGGGGTTCCTGCAACTCTTACGACATGAACTTGGACCTAGATTTCCCTCTGGGCTTTCATGTCTTCTGACATGTGCCCCTCTCCTTTGTTTGCCTGGGTCACAGAGCCTGTGGCCCTCCCGTTCCTGGACAGTGTTGTCCCTGTCCCATCTCTGTTTCTCTTGGGTCCAAGATCACACGTGCCCTGCCTGGTGCATTGCGCCTCAACATTCCTGCACTAGGGTTTACCTTGGTTTGAGACCCTCAGGGTCTCACATCCTGCTCTGACTCCTGGCTCCGGAGCCAGCTGTGGCTGTGCATTAGCTGTTCTGCTGTTACATTTTACCCAGCTCTGTTGTGCTAAGCTCACCCCCTGTGTCTGAGTCCTCACGCCATCCCTGCCATACCTCCGACTACAAGGAGGGTGAGAACTGCTTTTCCACAGGCTTGCCCAGTGCTTGGTAGTGATGCCTGCTCAAGGCCAGAAGCCCATTCCGTGCAGCTTCTCTGCAGACACATGTGTTCCTCAGCTTCTCAGGGGGAAGCACTGGGGCTATGAACTCCCTTCGGCACCATCTCAGCCCATGGTTTCCCGGAAGGAAACTTGCTCTCTGCTGTCGAACAGGCTTGGTCCAAGCCAGGGCACTCTCTAATGCTTCAAAAAACCACCCTCCCCTGCCCCCGCCAGGAGAGGGTCCCAGGACTTGTTTTCATCTTTTCCTCCCAGATTAACATCACTGCAGGTTTCCCTATTGCAGCCTGAGCCAAGACCAGAGAGGAAGCCATTGGGGAAATATGGGCTCTTGTTGCTTCCGGTGATGGGGAACTTAGGAAATGAACGATACAGCATGTGGCCCAAGAAGAGGCCTCTCTGTAGAGTCTCAGGCCAGAGGGTCTGTGGAACACTTAAGGGTGAAGGGCTATTCTCCTGTGGGGCTTTGAAGAGGATAAGAAGGTGGTTAAAGGCAGCTCTAAGCGACCACCCTAAAGAAGCCTGAGGCCTCTTCTCCCATCTAGTGGGTCCCATTTTCCTTATCACTTAGTTGAGAGTCGGCTCTGTTCCAGACCGGCAGCCTAGAGCAGTGGGCTGGAGCAAAGAGATGCAGCTGAGCTAGAGCAAGCCAGCGGTGGAGGGGAGCGTGGGTGATAAATTTAAATAACCAGCTTGACTTGGCAGCTTGCTGAGTTGTGATGCAGTGAAATTAAAATCTCGGCAGAACTTCCAAGCACTGCCCCGAGAAATCAGTATCTTGCTTCGGTTCCCTGCTGGAAGCTGGGTGGGGAGGCTAACCGGCTGAGCCCTAGCTTGCAGCAGCCACCCTTGCCTGCCATGTGATTAGCTGTGTCCTGGCCCACTGGCTCCCCCTCTCCCTCCACACAATAGTCCAGGCGCCTGTCTCCTCTCAGTCCTGACCTTGTGGAACAGCTGTATCAAGTGGCTGGTGAAGTTTGAAATCAGTCTCTAGTGCCAGGAGGTGGCAGGAATATCAATAAGGTCTGGCTCTTCAGGTTGGCGCAAGGCCTTCCCAGCCAGCTTCTTTAAGGCCCATTCCCGAGGGTTTGCCTCTTAGGGAGGAGGGTGAGCTGGGCACCCGAGGACCTGTGGAATGCCTTGGCACCTCCAAGGCTGCAAGCAGGGCATGACCTTGCCGATCCCTGATTAACCCATGAGGCTACAATCACCTCCTTACCTTTCTTCTTCCTCCACCAAAGCTCTTACTACTCTCAAATGAAATAAGCTCTTAAAGAGTGTTTGTGAGCCAGGTGCAGTGGCTGATCCTTCTCAGTTGAAGCACTTGAGAGGCTGTGAGGTGGCTAGAGTGTTGTGAGTTCGAGGCTAGCCTGGACTACAGAGTGAGAGTCTGTGTGGTGGGATCTTTGAGAGGAATCTCTGCAAGCACACCAGGAGCCCCTCGCCGCCCCAGCCTGAGCGGAGCACAGTTCCCTCAGCCGCCAACACTTCTCTAGAAGAACTCAGAGTTCATTTGTTCTGCCTGTCCTCGCCATGCTGCTTCGTGCTACCCATCAAGTCCTGGCCCCAAAGCCAACATGCTAAACCTGTGCCCAAAATGGCCCATGAAGTCTCTGGGCAATACCCGTTTCTCACCTTGACAGTATCTCCAGCAAATTCTGTTTGTCCCCATAATAAACACATCATGAATCATTCATCTTTAATAGATTATGCAAATCAGGAGGACATAAAATCAACAAAGATCAATAGCTGCAGCCGTTTAATTGCCAGCAAAAACATTTTAAGAATGAGTGTGATCTGCAGCCCTTTCTCGAGTAATGGCACTATTAATCCAAACATCGGATCTTGGTCTGAGTGTGGAAAAATCGCTCCCTGCCCCCTCCCTCCCTCTCCCCTCCCCCACCCCTCTCCACACTTTTCTCTTTTTGGTAATTTCCAGTTTCTGAGCGAGTTTCCCCGTCATTACCACTGGCGAACAGCTCCGAATGTTAATGGGTCTGCTTTTGTTACTCCTCGCTTGATTGAAATGTCGCATACAGATTGAGACGTTAGTGCTAAGTTGCCACCTGGGAATGTCAAGCTGGGTCTGAAATGAACTTTTCTCACACTTGGATCCAGATGGATCAGCCAGAGATGTTCCCAGGCTGAGCTGGGACCGTTCCAGGGCCATGGGGGGGGGGGAGAGGCTGGTGGGGGCTGCTCGAGGTGGGGGCACTTTCCTGCATTAGCCCCCAGCGTCCCCTGCAGCAGGAGTCCTGCCCGGAAGAACCACGTGTCCATCCCCAGGAAGTTCCTGCCTTCCAGGCTGCAGCACTGACTACTGAGAAAGCCCTCACACTGTTTCACCACTTTTAAGAAGTCTTCACTGAGCCAGGAAGCTGGCCTGGCGTGGGTCGTAAGGTCAGAGCACAACTCTATTGGGCTTTAGAGAGCTCCTATCCAGGGCCTGGTGAGCTGAGAAAGCAGTTCTCAACCTGTGGGTCGCACATCAGATATCCTGTGTATCAGACGTTCACATTACGATTCGTAACGATGGCAAAATTACAGCTAAGAAGTAGCAACAAAAATAACTTTATGGTTGGGGGTCACCACCACATGAGGGGCTGAACTTAAGGGACGGTGGCAGCCTTGGGAAGGCTGAGATCCATTGGTCTAAGTGGTGCCCTGACTCAGCTGGCCACGCTAAGAACACAGCTCCCCAAAAGCCTTTGGATGCACCAAGCCATCGAGAGAACAGGGGAAAGGTAGGGCTCTCTGAAGCCCCCTGGAGGCTGGATGGTTACTTTGAGCCCACCTCAGCCTGAGCTGGGCTCCGAGCCATGCAAAGTCACCCACAGATCACCACGGAGCCCTGTCCTACAGCACAGCCCCTGCCAGCGCCCTGTCTTTGCCACCTCCAGCCCTGCTGTCTGGCCCCCAGGCAGACCCAGCACACTCACAGGTAACACCTCAGTGTTCCCAGTTCCCACCGAGACCCTTCCCCAACACTCCTGCCTCCCCAAATCCAAACAGCACATTGGCTTTAGTGCCTCCAAATAATTAGGTAAATTTTAATAACATCCCAATGTGTGTCTCTCTTACTGTTACACTCTCCTGGCCTGGAAATCCTTCCGTGGCTCCAGGGACCTTCTAAAGCCGGCATAGGAAGCTCCACACCCTGAAGCATCGCCTCCTAGCCCTCCCCTGCATGGCCACTCCAGGAGCAGCCACAGTTAGCTCCTACCCGTGGAGGCCTTGGCCAGGGTGCCTCTCCCCTGCGTTTGACCTCCCCTGGCCTTGGAATCTAACGCTCCTCTCTTTGGCTTTCTCCACGAAGCAGGAGAAAGGCTATTATAGTAACTGTGTTCCATTCTACAGGTCTGCCTCCACACCCGAAGGTCCCAGGCCACAGATACCCCAGGTTGCCTGGAGAGAGGAAGGTGAGTTCCTCAGGCCCTTGGAGACAGAGCAGTGTGAAGGCTAGAGACTTCTGGGGCCTCAGCCACTTTCCCCCGCTGGCTTATTTGCCTTGACAGTTTTCAGCACAAGTTCTAACCAGAGGCTGGGAAATCTGGACAACTGGGGAGAGGGAGAAGGGGGCAAGGACAGAGAACCAGCAGCAGGCCCCCAGCTCCCACCTTTTGGGCTGAAGCCCAGAGTCCTGACCAAAGCGTTTCATCCTTACATCCATACACATCTGTTCAGGAAGCCACCCCCCCCCCCCCCACTCTGCAGATACCATGGCAGGGGGCCTACTTGTCACACTGGGCCCCAGATGGCATAGACCGAGGCACCCCATGGAAAGCAGTGCCCCCACCCTCCTGGAAGCCCCCTTACCGGTCACGACGGGGTATGTCTGTGTGCCTGACACATTGCTGCCCAGCTCGGGGTTGGCGGATGCAGATAGACTTGACTTCACTTCATCAAGCCCAGGGGTCAGGGCTGGGAGAGAGTATTCATTCCCCTGGGAGGAGAGAGAAAAGCGACAGCCCTCTATTGATGTGTATACACGGAAAGATGCGGTGTGCAGATGGAGGGGAGGACCCCCGAGCCCTCCCAGATGGGGTGGAAGGACAGGGCTGGGTGAGGCAGGGAGATGGGGAGGGGGAATTTGGTGAGAGTGGGCGTGGACCAGGGACGGTGAGTGGAGGTGCCCTCTATGCACTGCACCCCTGAAACTTCTCCTTCATCTTTTGCCTAAGAAGCTCCAGGAGGAGTGTAGCAGCGGGGATCCCCTTGCTGAGCAGTGTGGGGTGCTCAGGTTCCTCTGAGTAGGAGCACTGGGGAGCAGAGGTGGTCCCTGACACATGGCTAAGGTAGTGGTTGGGGGAAGGGCCTGGTGGGGCCTCCAGCCTGGCACTGCTGGGTCCGCTGATGGGGTACGGGCACCCCTTTTTAAAAAACAAACAAAGATAGCCCCCTGGGCCCCCTGCTCTCTGCCTGTGCACTGGGGTATGAAATTGGGGAGGGGGAGAGTCCACATGGCTAACAGAAGGGTGGGAGGGGGCCAGCCATTGACTCTGAAAGGGTGTCCTGCCTGAAACACTTGGGTAATTGCCTTTTTATTGCAGCCACCACCGAGCCAGACCCGGAGCCGGGCCGACCAGGAGCCTGCACAGAGCAGGAAAAGTTGCTCTGATTAATATTACGTTAAATTAAAACTGATTTTCTGCTCTTTCGGGTCTGTTTTTTTCCCTTCCGCTTCCTGGCCCCCCCAGAGAACCCCCTCCCCTCCTTGGCTGGACGGGATTGCCTCGTCATTTCCAATTCCTTCTCGTATTGATCTTCCTGTAGAAATCAGTTTTGTAATTAGCTGCAAATTAGGCCTTCTACTGGGGGTGAAGCTGCCCCCTGATTTATCACCAGAGTAATTCGCTGTGATCGGAGAGAAATTAAAATGAACTCAATTAGGCTTCGGATTTGCTTTATGGGCCCTGCTCCGAGTTTCAGGGGGAAAAATGACTGTGCTGGTGTTTAATAGTCTAATGAAAGTAAATAAAGGTTATTCATTGTAATACAGCCAGGGACTCGGGGAGGGTGCACCGAGCCGCCCGCCTTGGCCAGCTCCTCCTTTGTTGGTTTATGGCTCAGGGCACCTTAAAAAGACTTTTGATTTTTGTTTTATGAAGACAAACAGCTTATGGGATAAAAGGACGGGCGGGGAGAAAAGCGAGAGGCTAGGAGCTGTTGGAGTCTTAGAATGCAACTGTGCTGTGTGGAGCTGAGGGGTATTGCCAGTGTGTGTGTGTGTGTGTGTGTGTGTGTGTGCGTGTGTGTGTGTGTGTGTGTGTGTGTGTGCGTGAGAATGTGTGTGCATACAAGTGTACCCACAGCAGTTGTATCGTGCTGTAGCTGGAGGCCTGACCTGGGCCACGTGTGTAAGCTGGCTGGGAGCTGCGCTGATGTGCGGATGGAGGCATGTGTGGATGTCTTAGAGGGTGACTGAGACCCAGCCAGGGAAGCATATGCACTTATGGGCCCTGCAGGACTGCTGGGCTGTGCAGTAGTACCGGGTGCGGAGGAAGGAGCAGGTGGATGAGAGCGGGAACTGGCAAGTCTCTAATTTTTACAATAAAAAATACTGTATGGAGAGTAGGGCATACCATGGCACGCACGTGAGAAGCCGAAGAAGAGCTCTGTGGAGTCAGGTCTCTCCTCCCAGCTCTACGTGGCATTGGGGACCAAGCTCAGGCAGTCAAGCCTGCAGCGTTGGGTGCAGGTACCATGGCCTACTGAACCATTTTGCCCGGAAATGTGAGCTCTTTGGGGGCTATGTTTCTGAGCAGTGTGTGTAGTGTGTGCTTCAGCCTGTGTTGGATGCTCTGTGTTCATCTGTGTCTGTGGGAATGGTGGCAGCCCAGACAGCTGTCAGCCGGCCTAGGTTCGCATTAGATGGATGCATTGGGGAGAAGGAGGCAGGCTCAGGTGGGCTTTCTTTCTGACACAGGACAAGAGGCTCTCCACAGACTTTCTGTAGGTCCTGGTGGGGCCAGAGCAAGGGTCATAGCAAGAGGATAGCCCCAATTATCCCATACTAGGATCACAGAATGTCACAGCTGGGGAGGGGGAACGGAAGATGACACGCTGCCCTTCATAAGGAATTGGGAACTCTGAAGAGGGATAAAAATTTATCCTTTTACCCACATCTGATCATTTTTAATGACTAGATGCTGAAATTACTTGTCTTAACTGTGCCGTAACGTCTGTCATACGTGTAAACACAGCGGCTGTACGGATACACAGGGTGTCCGGTGTTTGGTGTGGGAGGGGCCTTGCTCTGCCGGGTTTCTTCCTCTTCCGGTTGGACAGGACGCTGGTTGGACAGGACGCTCTCCCCTCACCTGTTCTGATTTGATGTGCTCTGATGCCTGGAAGACGTCAGGGTAGGAAGGACGTTCGAAGACTCGATCCAAAGCCTCCAGCTGCTGCTGGGTGAAGGTGTCGGCTCGCAGGTGCTTCCGCAAACTGTCCACACCGCTCTGGGAGTCTCCATTGGGCACAGAGCCCTCAGACACATCTGGGGAACACAGACACTTGGGTCGTGAGCACCAGGCCAGCAGAGATAAGGAAGGATGCAGTGGGTAAAGGGTTGGGTACTTGGCTGTGGACCCTGGGACCCGGTGTCTCCTCTATTCCTTATTTCCAGTTCACAAGCTAAGAGGAGGCTGGAGGCCTAGACCCTTCCTCTGAGGGAGCCAGAGCCCCAAAAGAGCTGGGGAGTGGAAAAGAAGGGAGGTCATAGCAGGGTGGGCAGGAAGGACTGGGCAGAAATGGAGCCAGGAGGTCCCATGGAGCTGTCTCCAAGGCGTCCTTTCCCCAGCCCTCCCCCCCACCCCCCCAGCCTGAGTCACACTAAGTCAGTGTCTTAGACATGCGTTACTGTGGAGAATTGAACTGGGTTTAGATAAATTTCAGTTCCACAGATTCCAAGGGTTGAAAATCATCAAATCTCTGAGGCTAAGTGTAACACAGAGTCTGGATAAAGTAATTAACTACTCCCGAGGAGGAGGGTTCCTCAGAGCAAAGCTGGGGTACTCTGGCTGGGCTGGGCTGGAGACGGAACAAGAGGAGTCCTACTGAAGCTTGGGCAGTCACATAGACAGACTCCGGAGAGCACACAGGGTGTGACCCAGCCACCCTTCTCCCCTGGAGGGCTCTGGCTCAGGCCTCAGTAGAAGCCAGCTCCTGGGACACCTGGTTCTTCCATCAGGTTTCCACCGGGAAACCTTCCTCCATGGGAAAAGGGCTGGTCACCACTAGAGCCTGCTTCAGCCAGAAGGCAGTCAGCTCTCCAAAGCACCAGCTCAGCCGCTCATTGCCTTGTTTCTGCCTCCCCTGTCCCTGCCTTCCAGTGTGTGGTCACATGAGGCTTTTAGGGCATCCTGAGCACAAAGGGCCTGTCCCACAGCCTCTTTGAACCCTCACCTAGCAACTCTCCTAGCCCTCTAGCCCCAGCCCCAACCTGTCATTCCTTGGCTTTCCTCCACCCACAACAAGCTAGGGAGCCTTGGGCCTGGGGCCAGCTTGAGCTCTAGACCCTAGAGTGTTCCTCTGGGACCATTATATATATCAGTTTATAGGTGATTATATGATATGATCTAATCAATATTGCATTATATACAGTAACAGCGTACAGTATCATTTGGGAGACCATAGAAAGTATTACATATTGATTAACCTCAGTCTTCAGCCATCCTCCTTTGCTGGCCTCCCCGAAGGAGCAAAAGGCACTGCTCTCCAAAAGGACCTCCCATCTCCTCACCATACTGTTCAGGAGCACAGAGAGTGTGGGGGCAGGCAGAGGTGAAGAGGTAGAGAGAGAACAGATGGAGAGAGAGACACACACAAAGAGGCAAAGAACGAGAGAGAGAAAGACAGACAGACACAGAGAGAGATGCTAAGCCCAGCCTGGGGTGGGCAGAGGCGGCCTTGACGACATCCCTAGGTTCCTGTGGACAGAGGACCTGGCAGATTGAGTTATTCATTTATTTATTTATCTGCATGATTCTGGAACCATCAGGGACCCTGTGGAGGAACTGGAATACAGTCTATTTATCTTCCCCTTTGTGTGAGTGTTCACTGTGCACATACATGTGTATGTAACAAACATCAGATAAAAAGGTGGGGGGGGGTCTAGGTGAATTTAAATGACAGTAAGAATGTCTTTAAAGGAACACGTGCAAGTGAGGAATGTGAGCCCGTGTCCTCTCTCCCATGAGCATTCCTCTTTCCGCTGTACATCGCCCTGCCTCCACTGCCTGTCACCGTTCGCATGTCCCATTGTGCCCGCCTCTGCCTTCAGCCCTCCTACCTTTGGGGGAAGCCCTGCTGCTTGGGCTGGGTGAGGGCGCCAGCAAAGGTCTTTGTGTTTATTGCGCTTACTGATCAGGTCCTAGGAGTATGCGTGCATGCATTCAAATATGTGTGTGAGTGTGAGCACACACATGTGGCAAGATGGCCATCACCCTTCTGTGTGGATTTCTGTACATGCCTGTGGGTGGCTTGCTTCACCCTGTGACAGTGTGTGTGTGTGTGTGTGTGTGTGTGGTGTGTGTGTGGTGTGTGTGGTGTGTATGTGTGTGTGTAGGAGCTGAACTAAAGCTTTGTCCTCAGGTCACTGGCTGGAGGAGTCTCTTTGCCTTCATTTATTCAGGGGCCCTTCAGATCTTGACAAATCTGTCACTCTAAATTTGCGAGAGATTATGGTGCTCTCTCCCCAGCCCGCAGAGAGGTGATATATGATATCTGCTGCCCCTATTGATTGCCTGATCTGGTGGCAGAGGCCGGCGAAATGAACTTGAAATGAACATCATGCCTCAACTCATTGTGCGTATAATACACTACTTAATCCCACATTTTTCAGCCGCTATGGAATTCAATTGATCAATCATGTTCCACTGATAGTACTGTTTTAGGGGTTATTGCTGCTCCCTCCACTCACTGACCTTTTTATTTATTTATTTATTTTGTGCACACACAGGCCCTGGTGGTAAGACAGGTTACAGAGGCAGCAAAGGAAAGCAGGCGAGGGCTGGAAGGGAGGGGAAAAGGAAGCCCTCTACTGGAAGCGGAGGCCACAGAGGAAGAGGAGAAGGATGGTGGGGGAGTTGGGTAGTTAGAGAGTAATAGTGGTACAGGGAGACAAAGCTTGCAGAGACCTCTGACCTCAGCTTGGAGGAGTCCCGAGGGAGTCCCCAAGGGGGAAGAAAGGCCACAAGGAAGTGTCTCTACCCAGAAAGGTGAGGGTTTGCAGAGCAGTGAGGGAGTATGGCGGCTGGGGGGGGGGCGGGGAATCATGGAAGGGTCAGGGGGTCAGAGGGCAGAGAGAAGACAGGGAGACAGGAAGACAGGGATGGTACCCTTTCTTTGGGAGTGTAGGAAGGGAGAGGAGCTAAGGCAGAGAGAGGGCAGACATAAGCAAGGAAAGAAAGTGAGAGGGACCAGGAAAGAGCAAGGAGAAGGGAAAAGCTTCTGGAAGAAGAAAGTGGAGAAGCAGAGGAAGGGTGGAAAGAGGGAGAGGGAAAAGGGAGGAACCTCCTACGCCAGAAACTGGGAGGCGCTGGCCAGGGTGGGGATGCTGGGCAGAGGAAGTGAACCTGGTGTCATGGCTGGGTGTCCAGCTCTGGAGAGCAGCCTGGAGCCAGGGCATGAGCTGGAGGACTGGAAAGGAGGAAGAAAAAGGTGAAGAGAGTGGAGAAGAAGGAGAAGAGAAAGCATGGAAGAAGAGGGCAGGAAAGGGAATAAAACGGCGCAGTTGGCGGTGCTCACACCTGGAGTGCCCTCCCTGGGGTAGTGGGGAAGCGCTTCGGCAGTCTAGAGAAGAGGCCGCTGCACGGACTAGCCACAGGCTGCAGGGCTACCTGGCAAAGCTGCGAAACTACTGGCAGAGACAGAATTGAGTTCTGACCCGGGTTTTGGAGTGAGAAGAAAGGAGTGAGAGGAGTTAGGCAGCAGAAGTGCAAAGACCACTCACCACCCAAGAAGCCAGGTTCTGAGCTCCAGTGGGCAGGGGCCATGGCCAGTGCCTTTCTGTAACTCTGTGTTGGGCCTGGCACATAGCATAACACATACTCACTAAGTAAGTGACTGAATGAGTGAAGGAGACTCCCCCGGCTGGTATTCAGAATAAGAAATTGTCTAGACTGGCCAGAACCTGATTGGTTCAGCACAAACACACTTAGCCATCTGTCAGGACAGTCCCATTGCCTGTTAATCCCTGGCAGCATCGGCTCAGACCCCGCCCCCCGAAACTCTCCCTACCTCTGCAGCACCATCCACAGCCTCCAGTGCTTCCAAGCTATGGGAAAACACTATCCCTGGTGTGTGGGGGCATCTTAGCCTTGGAATCACAGGGCTGCCACCCTGAGAGGTGGCGGAAGATGCGCTGAGATGGGGCTCAGAGTCTCTGTGAGTCTACATTTTATCTCCCTGTGCCAAGAAGGCAGGAGTACGGGGTCTGTGTGTTTTAAACTTTCTGGAACAATTCCTACTTACAAGTTTTTTTTTTTTTTCAACTCTCAGGCCATGTTTTAAAGAAAGGTTGGAAAATATGCTTGCTGTAGGCTTATTTAAGTGCCCCCAGTGCTGTGAGAGGACCCTGTGCTGGTCTAATAGGCAGTACCAACAGTGAACTCAACCCTGCTTTCCGCTGGCCCCTGTCAGACACCCTAGCACCACACAAGATGGAGGGCCCATTGCACTAGTGGTGTGGCTCAGTGGAAAGAGCATTTACAGAGCTCATCAGAGGCCCTGGTCACATCCCCAGTACATAGCACAAGCAAACAAAGTAACAAGAAGAATTCTAAGGCTGTACATGGTGATACAGGCCTGAATCTCAGAATTTAGAGATTAAGGCAGGGGCTAGGGTGGGTCCCAAAATGGCAGGGACAATCTAGTGAGAGCCTGTCTCAAAAGAACTAAAAACAACAAGTCAGTGCTTCACAGCTCATTCAACTCTTTCAACGACACTGTGAAAGAAATGCTTCAGTACTCATTTTCCATGTAAGGAAATCAAGACAGAGGACACCAAGTAGCTTGTTAATGAACATGCCCTTAGTAAATGATAGTCGGGTTTGAGTCCAGGTCTGACCCTCATGAGAGCTTGCCTCTTTCCTTACTTTACTCTGTAGCCTAGTGACTAAACCCAGGGTCTGGCTGAAAGCCACTTGGCTCTATTGGAGGCGCATCTCCAGTTCTTTGCCGGCATTCTGCCTACCGTGGTTGAACTCTGCGGTGTGTGCTGGATGAGCACAGACTGCCCAGATGATCAGGGCACTTGGGTGGGTAGGAGGTAAGAGGCCAATTCTCCCACGTCCCCAAACTGGGCAGTAGGACTTTCGGGTCCGTGGCCATTCTAGATGCTCTTTCCACAACAGAGTGCTCATTCTCAAGGTGGGAGGGCTTACTGCAAGTTCTTTATGGAGCACAGACGAGCTATAGATGACTTAATTAAACCCATATTATCTTCTTTGACTCCTTATTGAACACCTGACACAAAGTCTTCACAAATCTTGAGTT